TTATTTGTGGAAACTCATGATAAATGGACATGATACTGATCATCTAGATATAAGCCAGTTCGGAACTATACTTGAGCATGCTAATTCCCTTCTTCTGCCGATGGATGAATAAAGTTGATTTAACATGGCAGTAGGGAATAAACGTGTTGCGCATGTATAGTTCTGAACTGGCTTATTGGCCTTATCTATCAGCAGGAGCTCAATACCACCTGCAGGCACGAGAGACTTTGCGTGTTAAAAATCACCAGAAGGAAATTGGAAAGAAATGGGCTTAAAATGCTCCTTTCCTGAGAAAATTCCCGTTGTTCACTTGTACGTCTTTTCAGATGTCGCTTGCTCCACTTCAATTTAGCTTGGCTTCTCGTTATCTCTTCAGTGACATTCAGTTTTGATTGAGGTATATTTCTATATTTTTATTTATATTATTATTTGTCTATGTTATTGTTGTAGATCCTTTTGCTGAAAGTGGTGAAAATGAGGTTGGTAGTAATAAAGTTCAAGAAGGATTAATCCATATTCGAATTCAACAGAGAAACGGCAGAAAAACTTTAACAACCGTCCAAGGAATTCACCCAAAATACGACCTTAAAAAGATTGTTAAAGCTTGTAAAAAGGTAAGATATTAATACGTATTAAAGTAGGGTTAGATGGGGGTAGGGACATAGGCTGAAAATAGGTTGGTTGTCAGAATGTTGCATTGCGTGAAACTCTGAGTAACTACATGTTTCAAGTTCTATTTTAATATTTCTGTATGACGTCAGATTAAAACATATATTTTAGAGATTTGTGGTACAAATATAAGGGAAATGAGAACTTATTTTTGTGCAAATTTTGTATTTGCTTTTATTTTTGACATAGTCACTATAGTTAGGGTCTAACGATAGCCCTCTTGAAGGTTTGTGAAAATAGCTTTATGACCTAACCAGATGTTGTCTGCCTCAACCATCAAATTTCTACTTTCTCCAGGGCTGCCATTCTATAACACAACTTCATCTTGTTACCTAGGTCAAAAGATTAATTTGATAAACGTTCTAGAAGGCTGTTGTTAGACCTGAACTGAAGTGACTACATAATATATGATAAAGCTAGTAAAAAACAGAACAAGATTAGTGTAATTATAATAACTGATTATTGTTATACTGATATAGACTCAATACTGAAAGCTTATATCATATTTCACTCCTTGTCTTGTCTGGGTCTTCACAGGAAATCATGAGAGGAAGTTGTTTATTACATGATTATAATATATGTTACTGGATCCAAGTTATTGATTATACGACTTTATGAGATGGGGACCCTGTATAAAATATATTATAAGATAAAACAGGACCTGAGGGTAGTCTATATTATGAGATGGGGACCCTGTATAAAGTATATTATAAGATAAAACAGGACCTGAGAGTAGTCTATATTAAATGTAATAATATTTCTGTCTATATTTTATAGCAATATGCGTGTAATGGTACTGTAAGTATTAACCCAGAGTACGGAGAGTGTATTCAACTTCAGGGAGATCAGAGAGAAAAAATAAAAGAATTCATGATGCAAGTAGGTCTAGCTAGACCAGAACAAATTAAGGTTGGTTTAAATACTATTATATACTGGCATAGATCTTTGATAAATTTTTAACCAGGTTTTATACTGACCTAGGTCACTCATAATACTTTACTAGGTTTTATACTGGCCTAGGTTACTCATAATACTTTCACTAGGTTTTATACTGACCTTGGTTACTAGTAATACTTTCACTAGGTTTAATACTGATCTAGGTTACTCATAATACTTTCACTAGGTTTTATACTGACCTAGGTTACTAGTAATACTTTTACTGGGTTTAATACTGATCTAGGTCACTCATAATACTTTTACTAGGTTTTATACAGATCTAGGTTACTCATAATACTTTTACTAGGTTTTATACTGGCCTAGGTTACTCATAATACTTTACTAGGTTTTATACTGACTTAGGTTACTCATAATACTTTACTAGGTTTTATACTGATCTAGGTTACTCATAATACTTTTACTAGGTTTTATACTGATCTAGGTTACTCATAATACTTTACTAGGTTTTATACTGACCTAGGTCACTCATAATACTTTACTAGGTTTAATACTGGCCTAGGTTACTCATAATACTTTTACTAGGTTTTATACTGGCCTAGGTTACTCATAATACTTTTACTAGGTTTTATACTGGCCTAGGTCACTCATAGTACTTTTACTAGGTTTTATACTGGCCTAGGTTACTCATAATACTTTTACTAGGTTCTATACTGGCTAAGGTTACCAGTAATACTTTACTAGGTTTTATACTGACCTAGGCTACTAGTAATACTTTACTAGGTTTTATACTGACCTAGGTCACTCGTAATACCTTTACTAGGTTTTATAC